CGGGTGGACCTATCTTTTTTAACATGCATAATTACAGTACAAGCATGGCTTCCTAACAAGTAAACTAGCACAGCCTACAGATGTTCTATGCATCTTACATCTATTCCTTTCGAACAAACACTTGCAATGGCCTAGGTCAGCGTCACATCAGAAGAAAGCACAATGTTAGAACACCCAAGAAACATTAAACAAAAATAAAGATAGCTTTCAATAACAAATCAGTGCATTCTCTGATAGCCTATCAGATGTATAGGCCTATAACGCAGAACTTTGACAGTCAGACTCAGTTATTAACTCGTTAAGCTCAGTCAAACTGAAGTACTTCTTCTTGGTGAAAATCTGAAAACACAATGCTAGTTCCCTTGGGACTATGCCTTCCAAAAGGTCATGTAGTACATCTGGTGGGTACCCAGACTCAAAATGAAAGTGATTTAATTTATCAGTCAATGGACACGACCGCTTTACGCCAAAGCAATGAGTAACATTTGGATTTTCTCTCAGTTTGCACATGCAAACTATGTTCCTTCTTTGTCCGAGGTGGAAACACTCCGGTCCGCACTTCGTGTGTCTGGTACTCTGAAGAATGTCCAAGACAAAATTTACAGATGTACGACCCCGTGAAACATTCAACTAGTCCACTGATAGAATGTGCATCGAGATTGTCAGCTACAACACAATGTACTGTCCCTTTAATGTTTTTTCCAACACTGGAAATGAAAATCCCTTCCTGTTCTAGAATGACAAGATCCTTCAAGAGTGGTTCCAAAACTGCTCTGTATTCAAACTGTTTGACATCAACAGCTTTGCAAAGTAAAGCTAGGTGTATTGACGTTAATGCAGATTGCAACTTTGTTGGAACATTTGCCAAAACCCAATAAACAGCTGTTATTTTGTGTTTTTTTTCTCGAAGTTCCTAGTGGGTTACACACCTCAAAGTCGTCAACGTAAAGGATTATAGACAGTCTTGTTTCTTTCCCAGCATAAAATACATTTTGCTTGAAGGATTTTCCATCAAAAATTGACTTAATATATCCAGTACTATTTGATTTTCTGGATAAAATTATTTCTGCAATGTCTTCATTCTTCAAGACTTCCTGCAAAGTCTGGAGAATAGGCACATATTGAAAGGTCTTGTTCTTTTCTGTATCAATAATATATTCAATGCTCCTCTTCTCGGTTCTTTCGGTAAAGTCACGTAGAAGGGAAGTAATAAAATAATAAAATAAAACATAATAATATTCAATGCTATCAACACACTGGAAAGGCACCTTAAAATACTTTCTTCTCTTAAAAGCCGAACCAAGTGGACCACCTGCTCCAAGTGCTGTACTAATGGGATGGAAGTTGCACAACTGCTCTGACAATTCAGTTACGATGGCCTGGTCAACAATGCATTTATTCACCTTCAATGTTGAATCTAGTATGTTTCTAACAACTGCAACTGATACTGAAGATGAAATGAACGGAATGTCTTCAACCAAGGCATCAATGCACTTCACTGAGGCATTATAGATGGTTTCTAGCTTCAGCAGAAGTAAGCCAATTCTTTGAAGAACTAAGTATGATGCACTTTCCTGATCACAATCTAAACTAGTGCCCTCACCATCACTGGCCTCTGGTAAATCAGAATGGTCAACAGTCTGATTATGGCGACTCTCATACACATCTTTCTTAAAATCACTCAAAGAATAGGATTTGTGTCTTCTGCTTTTGTGTTTTAGAAATGTATTGTATATATTTGTCTGAAAGCTGCATCCTTCAAATACACAAAAGACAGTTTCGTGGCTCTTCAGATGATTTCCAATATGCTGAAAGCATTGCAAACTAAACACTTAAAAGCAGAGATGTTTCCTGACCGTAGACTTTCTTCATCTGAATGGTATCTGGACAAATGTGTGCGAAGGACACTCTGCGTTTTAAATGTGCAAGGGCAACTGTCATATAGGCATGGCTGGGATTGCCCACGACCAAATGTTGCGTGTTGTCTGTAATGCTTTAGTAGATTTTCCTTTGTGGCAGACAAAGACTTGCAGATCTTACACTTCCATTCCATAAGCAAAAACCTGAGGCAGAAAAAGGTCCATGTATCAGATGCAAGGCCACCAGGTCTCTAATCACATGAGGACAATAGAATCACATTTACAAGATAATTCTTTATTATTTTTAATATTCAAATTTTCATGCTCAAATTTAGCACATCAACTTCTTGTCACTCACATCATCTAGCTAGCTAGCAACTACACAACAAGCTAGCCACAACGTAAAGGTGACGCTAACTGACTGGTGGCAAGCTAGCTAACGTTAGCATACGGTACGTACATCAACACCAAGATATAATATACTGGAGGTGTAACGGCAGGTACAGGACTTTTGGTTCGGTACACGCTGTGATCCGAATGAATATAGTCTAGTTTTAATCACGCACGTTACTTTTTCGTGTGCGGAACAAAAATTATAGTCTCGTGCTTTTAGTCGAATCAGACTGACTTCCAAAGGCCTAACGTTGTGCTAGTTAATTCTGATATACGTTACAGCCAGTTAAATTGGCATGCTGGTAACATGCAGTAACATAAAACAATGTTCAACTGCTACCACACCTTTGTTAAAAAATTGTTCGCTAAAATAATAAAACATGTCTTACCTTTGGGAGAACGGCGGTCCCTGAAACGTGTCTGTGGAAGAAGATGGTTGACATGCACGTGGCGCGAAAAAATGCCTCGAGTTGGGGCGGAAGTGTAACGTTATTAAATTCAAAAACCTCCCGATTAGAAAAATGAATACATTTTTTGCATTTTTGACTTTCCTGATAAAATATAATTAAATTCTACTTAGTTATTGATGGCTGATTTTATTCGAACAAAACTGAGTAAAATACAATTAATAACTAATAGAAATGTGTTGAATTCAGCTCAATGTGATTCCAAACTACACATAGTCATTATTTTTATGTATAGGCTACTCTTATATATTTACTAAACATTAATTAACCCCAGTCTCGGTTTTTACAGTGAACGCGTATTAACGCTATATTTGGCCTCTCTATGTGCTGTTAAGGCTATTGTCCAAAACGTGGCCTATTATATATGTAGTGAGTCCAACTTGGTCGCAGATGTTGTTATTTAGAGGCAACACATTAATTAGTAACATCAACACGTAACACAAGGGGTAACTTGCCCCTTCACCAGATACAGCCTAGGGTGGTGGCCACCCAGCTAACTACCCTATACGGAGGAGCCGGTTTTCAGTAATTATAAATAAGCGCCATGTAATTAAGTGAGGCTAAAGCATTCAGGAGTTTAAAGGTCATCTACATGAATAGCGTGGCATCTAGTTGGCTCTTGTGGTGCCATTCATCATCGCTGCAGTTGAAGGGTTGTGCTTGGCAGTTTACTTTAATAATGCATTTCATTTTGGAGGTAAAGCTCACATTGTAATTAGCTCTTCAAACATATTGGTCCCTATATCAGGAAATATAATTCATGAGCTAATCTCGATGAAATATCTGTGCGACATCAGCAGAATACGCATGCGTGGACGAGTGGACGTTAATCGCCATGTGGGGAGGGGTAATGTAGTGGTTAGTACACAGCGCTACAAGCCTGATGGCCCAAATTCAATTCCTACCCACGCCTATCAAGTGGTAAATATCTGAATCGATCCTGGGCCTCTGCTACTGTGAGTCGACTTTAAATATTGACAGGACTCTCCTGAAAACGATTACTTAGACCCAGTGAGGCTTTTCTGGTGTAATAACAATAAAATATGAAGCTGGGTGTGGTCCTGTCCACACCACTCTATCGTGCGCGGATCCAGCCGTCAATGTTGATTGCCATAACAGCCAGTGTAGACCACACGGGGGGATCGTTGTCTTTGTGTGTACAGCATTCCCTTGTTATTCTTAGGTTTTTTCAGTAAAGTCACGTAGGTAAAACATCAAAATTAATAAAAATAAAATAAAATAAAGATCACGACGTTTCGGAGGCAACACAAGTCTCCGTCATCAGGTGGGACCGTCACAGCCAGATTAGCTGCATCAAGTGAGGCAATGATTCAAGATGTAATCCCTTAAAAGCGAGTTGAGGGGGGAGGAGAGGGGGGGGGGGAGCTCATCAGAATGTGGTAGCCAATGAATGGAACGTATCGGGAGGGAGGGGGGCGGGGCCAAAAGGGTGGGCGACGGCGTGGAAGCGATTGTGCGCAAGCTTCAAATCTAGAATTCATTCCCTTGTTATTAACGGACGCGCTACCCACGATTTTAGCTATCCGCGAATCGCATCTGGAACTCTACGCCTATTAAGGAGCAGTAACGACATCACAACGATCATAAACATCATCATTATCACCATTGGAACCTCATTTGCCGGTAAAAAATATCTGGCAACAAAACTGACAACTTTTTTACAAGGAGTCATGTTTGCATAAACCATAGGCCAATATCATCATCCGTGAAATGTCCGATTCACGAACACCTCCGGAACGCATCCCTCGCGTATAACGAGGGGGATGCCGCGATCATGGGATGAGAGCCCGAGACCATCGACTAACAGCTTGAAACAGACTTGGGAACTTATAAAAGAGGCCGCGTGTCGGCAACTCGAGGTACGCTTTTGATTCTGATCCCAGCGAGCGCACGGTCGTTGTCTTTGTTGACATAAACGAAGTGCCCTGTCGAAGTTACATCTTGTCGTCTTCTTCTTTGTGTGCGTGTAGAGCTGTATAGGCTATGACTTGAGCCAAACTTTTGAAAGGCAGTTGTGAATGTCACGTGAATAAATACATGAGCAAGTGAATAAATAAATGAGCACACAGGAGGCAGTGTGCGTGCATCACGTGGTAGGTAAACATCGCCACTGGGGCGATAAAGGCGGCCGGGTGGCCGTGATGATGGACATCCACACCCACGTGTGCCGTTCCAGCCTTGACAGGTGCTCACTAACATCACTTGCTCCAAAAAGTCCGTTCTAAGCCACACGGGGGAAATCTCTTTCTTTGTCCCACAGGTGCCTTGTTCACCATCACCCTGCTGCTGGCAAGTCTCAACAGCTGCACCAACCCGTGGATCTACATGGCGTTCAGCGGGAGCACTCCACGCGCCCTCTTGTCCTGCGTGCTGTGCCGTGCGCGGAGAGGCGGCGCCGGTGGCATTGGTGGCGGTGGCGTTGGCAGCGATGGTGGCATTGGTGGTGGTGGCGGTGGCACTGGCGGTTGGGTGCGGAGCGTGCCGGGAGCCACGGCGCACGAGGACTCGATGGCGACCAGCAGCGTTCACCTGGCGGGAGCTCTCCGCTCCCAGCACGAGGATGACGCGGAGCAAACCAACGAATTCATTAGTTCGCGCACGATTAGTAAGGATCCCAGCAGATTTTAAATTAAGGGACCAATATCCCCCGGGAGTGTTCTTCTGGTCCAGGGGCTCGGCAACCTGCGGGTTCTGTAGCCGCATGCGGGACTGCTTCGTGATGTAATTTATTAAGGGGCCGTCTCGTATTTACATTGCATTGCGGCTCTTGAAATATTGAGTTTAGCGAATTCGAAAAAAGGCTCTTCTTGTTATTTTCGTTGCCGACCCCTGTTCTGGTAAAATCACTTGACCGACGTTCCGAAAACTTTCGATTCAACTCTCGGTCAGGGGATTGGTGTTAAGATTGCACGTGTTTACCCAGTAAAGGTTGGCTACCTACATTGCAAAAGAAGTTCAACATACATACAGACGTCTCACTTACTCTCATGGCTCTCCTGCCTAGCTTTTGCAAGGGGAGCAATGATTGCGACGTGTAAACCCAGTTAAGTAAAGTAGAATATGGGAGTGGAATTACAAAGTCGACCAGTGAAAGGAAAGAAAGGGTAAACCGAGAGTTTTAAATCTCCAGGGTCAATAAATAGAGAACCATTTTGTGGAAAGACAACAGCGGTCAAACTATATTGGGGGGATGACAATTGTCATGGTAATGTGGAGTTTCCATCACAGGCTCAGGGCCACCATTGGACATGAGCCGCATCCTATTGCTAAATTGAGTGGGTTGAGGGAGCAGCAGGGGCAATCCGGCACGCCTGTTCAAATATCACTGGCCACTGATGTTACCCGTTGCTGGACATCGAATCAGAGAGGCTGGCCTCATCGTCACAATGTGGGGATGCCAGATGACGCGCGATTTCCTGTCCTAAGCGTCTGCAATTAATTAGCGCCGCTACCCACCCCTCACCCACCCACCCATTACAGTGCCACCACGAGGCCCCCCCCCTCCCAACACGGCGAATCACGTGGGCACGCAGCACAGGAGAGCAGATAAACAGCTGTGGGCCAGCGCGTGCCCCCTGCCGCCACAGAACGCATATCCATTGATCGGTCTCCGCTCGCTCAGCGAACATTTTTCTCGTTTTGGGAACAAATGGGTCTAAATTCAAATTGCTCATTAGAGAAACATTTCGTAGAAAGAACGATCGTTAAAGGACACTAGCCTGTACGTGATCGTTGTGAAATCACCCCCAATGTGCTATGCGTGCTTAAATAGGTGCTCACTAGCAACACTCATCTCAGTATAGCTCTTATGTATATAGGGAATATTTGTATATATGTACAGAGTATATGTTTATAATGCATGTGCCCAATTGTGTATATATTGCGATTCATATTTAAGATGTCTGCATGCAATCTGTTATATTAATACATATTGTGACAGGTACTGTGGGTCTATGTGAGTAAAATAATATTTTCCTAATAATAGTTTTTTTCCTTTTTTTGGCAACAAAACTGAAACCTTTTTACAAGGATTCATGTCTGCATTAACCACAATACTTGCTGTCAAAATGCAAAAAAAAACATACTATGATAATATATGCATTGTCTTTGAAACTGATTGGTCCACACCAGTATGTTTTTGTTTGCATTTGGACTGCAAGTACTGTATTGTGGTTAATGCAGACATGAATCCTTGTAAAAAGGTTTCAGTTGTATTGCCAGAAAAAGGGGGAAAACCCTATTATTATATTTTGAAAAGGTCTAATGATAATATTTGCCTGTACATGAGTTGTATCTCAGCCATGGCTCACGTCAGTGCCGAGTAATATTTGAGTAGTATCTCACCCAGTTCTAGGTCAGCCCTAGCCTTAAACGCGTATCTGTATTGTGTAACAACATCAACTCTGGGAAGATAAAACTGTCCAGGCCTGGTGCTGGCCAAACCACACCCTTCTTGCACAATGCCTGACTTCTTAGGTGCTCGCTCAGAGCACTAGATTTGTATTGCTGCAATCGAAATACTGTGCTGAAACGTTTCCCTATTTCTATAACATTACAAATCTTCACAGGCACAGTTGCATTTTTATTTCCTAAACTAAATTTTTTTCATGAGAAACATTGAAAACTGCACTCTGGGTATGTTTGCCCTCTTTTCCGAAATTACTCCCAACGGCAAACACAAAACAACGAAAAAGGAGCACACAAGATGAAAACGAATTACAGTATGTTGAGAGAATGATGTGCCTTTGCAGATTTTATACGACACGGGACATTACTTACGAATGGAATTGCACTGGGTGTTTGAACACTGCAGAAAGAACATGTATCTTATTGCATTAACGTGTTTACTGTGATATCACTGTGTAACACAATTTTTGTTCCTGGGGAGTAAGTGTTATTTCGTAATTGATAGTGATATTTAGAAATTTACCTATTTTCAATGAGAAAACGGGCGAATTTGTGTTTTTCCATTCACATAAAGTCAGAAAAAAACAACATATTAATCAAAATTAACATGTATTTATACTAAAATTATACAAAAATTACTACAAAAGATTTAGAAGTGAGTAGTTTTTCGAGATTTACGATTATACTGTAAATCACTTTCACGAATCAGCCCCCAAATGTAGTCTCCCATCATGTTCTCGTTATACTGTCCTTGATAGCGGCGTTTAAAGTCCAGTATATCCTGGTGGAAGTGCTCGCCTTGCTCCTCCGAGTACGCTTCCAATGTTCTCCTTGAATTTATCAAGATGAGCATCAAGGATATGGACTTTGAGGGACATCCTACAGCCCATTGTGCCGTAGTTCTTCACCAGTCTCCACCAGCTCCACATAGTTTTCGACCTTGTGATTGCCCAGGAAGCCACGAACCACTGCGACAAAGCTGTTCCAAGCCGCTTTCTCCTTACTCGTGTAAAGTAGTCACTTGGCGGGAGACGACTTTGACGGGTAGCACACCTTTTTATTAACACCAAACTGTTACACGGGTGGCAACTGCCACATAACCCACGAGGTTCCCCTGAGCTATACCCACACGGGCTCTCACGCCCCGTAGCTTCTTGGAACACACCCGGCTGGGTTATTAGTCTCGGCTCTGGGTCCCACAGCCTCGCCTCTGAGCCGCACAGGGTCCCGGCCCTTACAAGGACAGCAGGGCTAGGGGTCTCAGGGCCCTATCTCTTCAACTCCGTCTTCGATCTTCAGCTGGTAATAATCTCCCCGAGTGCTCTCGCGCGTCCCCCTTTATAGTCCTCCATGCGGACGTCGCTGAGAGCACCCACCCAAGTTGACCAATCACCCAGCGTTCTCTCTACGATCCTCTTTCCCATATCGTGTCTGCGTGCACAAGCACGCACCCAGCGCCGCCCCGTGATCCATCACTGTCAGTGTGCGTCAACACCCCCCCACACTCGATGTAGCCACGCCCGGCGCGCGCACACCCACGCCCCCACCTTGTCGGCGCGCACCGCCACTACACTAGTAAGCTTCTTGGGGAATTCATTGCACTCCAGGATCTTCTTTATCTATGGTCCGATGAAGACACTGGCTTTGACCTTTGCCTCAGACAGCTTAGGGAAGAAGTCTTGAAGGTACTTGAAGGCTGCCAACTCCTTATCTACAGCTCTGACAAATGGTTTCATAAGGCCCAATTTGATGTGGCATCAGCACCTTCCGAGGGTCCACCAGTGGCTCCCACTTGACGTTGTTCCTCCCCACAGAGAACTCGGTTCACTGTGGCAAGTCCCGCCTGTGGTAGTGTGCTTTGGTGTCTAAATCTTTTGTAGTCATGTTTGTTTTACTTTAGTATAAATACATGTTAATTTTGATTCATATGTTGTTTTTTTCTGACTTTATGGGAACGAAAAGACACAAATTCACCCTTTTCTCATTGAAAATAGGTACATTTCAAAATATCACTGTCCTGGTCCAAAAAGCAAAGTTTTTGGGGAATAATAGCAATTTTCTATACTTTTGAGGCATAAGCAATTAGGAAATAACACTTACTACCCAGGAACAAAATGTGTTTTGTTACACAGTATATTCGATGTGAGCTTGTGATGTCTGTAAACAGTGGGAAATCTGTCACCATAGTTTATTGCTTGCATGAAAACATGTTTACTGTTTATATTACATTTTTTGTTATATAAAACATAAATTTTACGGCGCGTTGTCGAGGAACTTCCGTTACGCGCTCTGAGTTACGATTGTAGATAAGTGCCACTCGAGTGCTTCTTTAAAACAAGAGGGCATTTTTCATTCGGTTATGAAGAATAATGCGCTCTTGAACAATTTTAAGTAATTCCCACAACGCGTTTGGCTACTCTGCACACATGTACAGTGTTCCCTCATTATTCACGAGGGATACGTTTCGGAGATGCTCGTGAATATAACATTTCGTGGATAGTGGTATTGGCCTACAAAAATGTCGCTTTTAATGGATTACCTTAAATAAAAAGTTTTTAACCTATCAAATACGTGAAAATTTACGTAACGCAAACACGTAAAAAATGTTTGTAATAAACATAAAGTAAATGAAACGAATTTTGAAGTATTCAATTATCATTTATACATTAACTTTCCTTAAATTGTGATGATGCTGCGCAGTAGCAACATCATCATCACTTAATCTCTCATCACTTTGTCTCATCACTTTATTTCTCTCGATACAGTCGCGTAGAGTTCCAGATGTTATTCACGGATAGCCAAAATCACGGATAGCAAGTTGGTGAACAACGAGGGAATACTGCACAATGCATTTGCTAATTTTGCATAAAAAATGTGTGAATAAACAGACTCTCAAAAAGGATACGAAATGTTAAATATAATTTAATTGACAGTATTCAGTATAAAGCTTCATGGTCATGCATTTTCTTAACTCTGCGTGCTTAGAAAAGCAAACCCCTAAAATTTGCACATTCATATTTCAGTCATAGCTCCCTCCATTTGCACTTTCAGCAAGCAGAGCGATCGATTAGCCCATCATTAAACTTCCCAGTGCCAGGTGTAGCCAGCAGGGCTGAATAACTGACTGGTTGTTAGAGCGGCACATTAAATTATAGACTATGACAGCACCTGGCATGTGGATTTTATTTTATTATGTTTATTGCATTACAACAGTATTTAATTGGAGAACTTCTCACAAGTGATGTTTTGGGCCAACAAGCCATATTCCACGCATTGTGCTGCTCAAAGGAGAATGACCAAGATCCAGATGTGATCATCATGGACAAGGCCATTCATGAATATATTTTGAACTTCTTTCGCACCGTACGTAGCCAACCGTGTAATCGTGGGTGCCAATGCTTTTTACCTTATGTCACATCCGGCAGCTCCTGAACAGTAGACATGCCACCTCCAAGATCTGCCCTAACAGTATCCCACCATCTGCTCTTAGGTCTTCCCCTTGGTCCACAGAGCATTCCAATGTCTGCCCCAACAATCGGCCCTAATCCATCTTGCACTCATGTCTGATCCAGTGCAATCCTTTTTTGCTAATCATATTTGCAACCATTGCATTCCATGTTCGCTTCTGGACTTTTGCTTTGTTCATCCTGTTTGGCCAAGCAATTCAAAGCATTCGTCTCCGAGACCTCTGCCAGCAACTTTGTCACTACCTCAATATGCTCTGCTCTGAGGACTTGCAATCCTATGATGAACGAGTGTGGGTCAGTTTTGTATTCCTTGAACGAGTATTTAAAACTCCACATTTCTATTGCATGGATAAGTCAGTCACTGCATGTGACAAGCATGGGGTGATGAAGAGGTGAGTTTACGCCTGACTGGGATTGGATTTTAATTGTTGACTTTGTATTTAAGGATGTGGTCCCTTCAGTTCAGTTAATTTCAGTTCCTTTATTAGGTATAGCCCTGTGAGCCATGCGGCTCTTAACTCGGGTGCAACCGCATCAAACAAAATCATGAACAAACAACAGACGTGAGAACATCTTGACTTAACGCTTTCGTAACTGCAGGAATTAATATTCTTTGGGTCTTTCGGTAAAGCCACGCAGACAGAAAAAAACAATACCTCAGTCGTGGCTGATCATTGTTTTAACGCTGTGGGCACACACGAAATTGATTTTGCCAAGACGAAGGTACTCTGCAAACCCACTGGCTATCAACAAAGATTCGTTCATGAAGCCATCCAGATATATAAACACGGACACAATTTCAACCGAGAAGATGGGTACAAACTGAGCAATCATTGGAAGGACGTTATTTACCAGTTTAAGTCATAACTGGCTGTGATGTTCCCAGCCTACCACCGTCCGATGTTAGTTGTTATTTTCGGCTCTCTGATTTTTTACATTAACAGATTACATTTCTCACGAACACAGCTACCTCGCGCGCCATCCTCGAGGCTGCTACTTCACGATCTGCCATTAACATGCGAATCTCTCACATTAAAATAGCTACCTTGGCGCACTCGCCGTGTAGAAGGCTCGGCCATCTTGCATTGACATGCCTGGCAGCCCTCTGATTGCCCCAGGATTGTGGAATCACACCATTCACTCAGTATTAGAGATTCGCACTGCCAAATGGCCATGTGTAAATTGGGAGAATAAATTTACTCGACACATTATCCCATGCTTAAATACAATTATAAAATAGCTTAACATTTGAAACATTTATCAGTGTTCTTCGCATATACCCCGTAAAGAATTACTAAGTCTCAAAGTATTCAGTATTGTCTTGTATTGGGATGCTGTCAATTACTTAATGAGCAATTTGTACGTTATCAGGATTTTTGGGAGACAAACACAAACACCTATTGATATGAATAATAAAGCTTAATAAATCCAGTCAGCAACCGAGTTTCTGTACTGCCATCTATAATTATGTTTGTGCATGGAGGATACATTGCAACATTAACAGTTTTTCTTCAGTCCCCAAACAGGACTTAATTTAAGTAAGATCTGTCGGTCACCAAATAGAAATCCTCACCTGGCACACCGCATCCAGTATACCGATCGCTATGGCTGTGGTTACTCGTTATATGCCTACTCCAGCCTTCCGGTGACCCGGAAAATATTCAGTGAGAAGATTAAGCCCTCATCGTCAATGTATACAAGGGTGATACAAAACACATTACACTGGTCAACACACTTTTTCTGGCATAAGGTATTCCAACGGTTTGAATGTAATTTTGGGGTGCTGATTCCAAATCTGGCATCAGTTTTTGTCTATCACATCAGGTTTTTGAGATATCAAATATTGCATTTTCAATAAAAACTGCAGAAGAAAAATATTAAATAAATGTGGATATCTACATAAAATTATATTATAAACACACTATCCTAAAAATACAGCACAATATTTTAACACTAAAGCAGTCACTGACTCGCAACAACTTGCAATCATAAGTGACAGAGTTAATTTCGGGTAAAATCAATGAAAATGGAGTATGCCGATATCATAAAAATGAGATGTGATAGAGCAAATCTGAGATCAGATTTGGAATCAGCACCCTGAAATTAGTCTTAAACAGCTGCAAAAGTCCAGGCCAGAAAAAAATGTTTTGTTTTTGTTGACCAGTGTTATGAGTCTAATGTGGAAGAAATACCAGAGACAATGATGGCTACTTAGATTCCATAGTTCACACTCAGGGCACGATATCCTGGATTACTTTGAAGCTTGTGTGTGGTGGACTGCCAGAATGTCATCATGGCAGGGAGACTTGAAGCTGAGCTTAGGTCAGGGTGGCCTGCGACTGCGGTGAATGTAGAATACGACATGGATGCACAAAATAGCGATGGTATGGGCTTAGAAGACTGCAATGTCTTGGTTGCACAGTTACCTGACATTGTGGCATTAGTGTGGGATCAGTGGAACGATCTGGCTCGATTCTTTGGAAACGAACACGGTGTGTGCACTTTGGGTCCCCAGAACACTGACACGCGACATCAATGGGGAACATCTTGACCTGATGATGAAGTGCTAGGTTTGTTAGGAGCCATTTTTTTTTTATTCCGACAAAACGCGAGCACAGCACAATACGCCGATTGACATTGGAGGGGAAAACATAACTCTGTGTGGGGGGGGAGGGAGTTGGACTCGCTGTCCCAGCCAAGTTGGAACCACGAGTCGGGGCGTGAAGATTTATACGGGAGAGAGAACATGGTGGAGGCGAAAGGTAGCTAACGTATTTGGGTGAAGACCAAGAGCCGGGGAAGCAGGGTGGGAGTTAGAAGGGTGAGAGAGAGGGGAGATGGGATGCGAGAGGCGATATATTATCGGCAGTGAGATCTGGGATGCACCTTTAAAACCGCAAATATAATGGCAGGTCATACAGGCGAAGAATCCAACTCCTCCAACACACAATAAATACAATAAATACCAGAGGTGTGGACTCGAGTCATGTGACTTGGACTCGAGTCAGACTCGAGTCATGAATTTGATGACTTCAGACTCGACTTGGACTTGCATAACAATGACTTTGTCCCACCTCTGATAAATACACGTCTGAACGCTCTGCGGGCAAAATGTCAGATGCACAATTTGTTCGGATATTTGAGGTGGGGTGCAAATTGACTTTATTCCACACAGGAGACGATCACAGTTCAACATGAAGCAGAATTGCAACATTGACTGCTCAAGTCAACCGTGACAATACACGAGGACGGCACCGCAAGAGTGGAAAGACGTCACCTTAAATAAAATCACAAAATCTTTCCACTCTCCAGGAATTGGCACACAATTCCGTGGTTCGCACATCAAAGGCAAACCCCGAGTGGGCTGAAAAAAACACCTTGTCTATGGAGGGATTCGAAAATCTTTATAAAATTCACCGTTCAAGAGGGTGCAACGTTATAGTCGGCGTGGTACTTATTCTTATTGGAGTTTGTACTTCTATTCTAAGTTGAGCTCCTAGTTTGTTTTTATACCACCCTTGGGCGTACACAAATATCTCCATTTATGCTTCTAACAAAGAATTAGAATTGTCTCGTGTTCACGGTCTATTCTCCAGTGCCAATTATACGATATATAGTCTACAGATGCAGTGGCATGAAAAGCCACTTCTGCCACGCAAACGTGGCACTTATGCTTCTGGCAACTATCTACACGCACATAAAACTATGATATAAAGCATTTATTGTTAAATTATTGTTATTATGTTGGGTTTTTTTTCTGGCAACGAATACTTAACATTTGCTATTGCCATTATCTCATGAGACAAAACATGTCCCGTGTGAGCAGTGCATTACCTGGTGTAAGAGAGTGGCCCTGAAAGATAGCCTCACAACACTACTGCTGAATCCCTTTTCATCGGACTCATGTCCCACACGAGCTGGCACAGCTTTGCCATAGTTTTGCAAAATAGTGCCTGCTACATGGCAATCCGATATTTCCTCAGAGCTGGAATATGCTGAAACAAACAATTAACATGCTTTGCTGGAGTCGTTTATTATT